TTGGCTTCTCCATTGACCAGCAGTGGATGTGAAAGTGTCTTACTCACATGGAGTGCATGGCATCCTGAATGATCTGCATCCAGGTGTTGCGCTCTTCTCGCGAGCTGGCGTGAACCTCCACCATCTCTGGGTTTGCGATGCCGGCGGTGATGAGGAAGAGGCCGCGCTCCTCGTGTGCCACCTCACGCACAATCAGCTTCTGAAGGGAAATGACGGTGGCGCGCTGGTCCTGCCGTGGACAAGAAACACACACACACACAGAATGAGGAGGGCGGAGGAAGAGAGAGGACAATAATATTCAATAATCAAATGAATGACCACAGACACACTTCACACTGGGTATGAACAACATTGTGTCCACTAGTTCATTAGCAAGAACATGATGAACAATGAATAAACAATACTCATATAGCATTTATTAAAGTCTGTGTGAACTAAAAGTTGCTGTGCTTTTATGTCAGTATGTTGATGTGCTTCCAACTGAGAGTGAATATTGAGCAAGGGGCTGTTATTTTTGCGCATCATTCCCTCATAGCAAACTAACAGTAAGAGGGGTTTGGTTAAGAGTATTGGGTAACACTTTATTTTAATGGTCCATTTGACTATTAGTAGACTGTCTGCTTAATGTCTGCTCCTTCAACAGATATTTAACTGACTATAAGAAATTTTGCAAACACATGTCAACTTACACTAACCCTAACCCCAACCCCTACCTAACAGTCTACTTACTGAATAATCTAGTGAGAATTAGTTGGCATGTAAATGCAATGTAAAGGACCATCAAAATAAAGTGTGACTGATTTTTATTTTTACTTTTTATTTTTTATTTTTATTTTTTTTAAAGAGTTCAGTCATGAAGACATTCTTGTTTTAATTGATGGATACAATAAACACAAAAGTTGTCCTTAAAAACACTTTATTTTGATGGTCCGTTTGTTGAATTTAAGTTACATTGCATCTACATGCCAACTAATTCTCATTAGATTTTTCAGTACGTAGACTGTTAGGTTGGGGTTGGAGTTAGTGTAAGTTGACATGTCACCCCACTACTCATCCGTTTGCACTGGCTGCCAGTTGCTGCTCGCATCAAATTCAAAGCTCTGATGTTTGCTTACAAAGTGACTTCTGGCCTTGCTCCTTCTTATCTGCTCTCACTTCTGCAGATCTATGTGCCCTCCAGAAACTTGTGTTCTGTGAATGAACGTCGCCTCGTGGTTCCATCCCAAAGAGAGAAGAAATCACTTTCCCGAACTCTCGCATTCAATCTGCCCAGTTGGTGGAATGAACTCCCTAACTGCATCAGAACAGCAGAGTCACTCGCTGTCTTCAAGAAACGACTAAAAACTCAACTATTTAGTCTCCACTTTCTTTCCTAATCTGCAATTGCCTCTCTGGCTCCACCGCTAACTGTATTACAGAAAGAAAAAATAAATAGATTTCGCTTCTTAGACTTTACACACCTGAAACTTGCTCTTATAGTTGTGTAAATTGCTTCCATGTCCTCATTTGTAAGTTGCTTTGGATAAAAGCGTCTGCTAAACAACTAAATGTAAATGTAAATAAAACATAAAAAACAACAACTTACATATACCATACTTAAATTCAACAAACGGACCATCAAAATAAAGTGTGACAAAATATTTTGGCTGAAGCATCAAACTGTAGTCATCAGAGATGGAGCGCCGCTCCAAACACAGAAGCAAATGGTTAGCATTTGATTAAAGATTACCAAAACAAACTCTTTTTTTAGTGAATTCTGTAAATTACGTGTAACAACCTGCGCTAGCTAAATAAACATTGTAAATTTTAATTTCACAAAGACTGTAATGTTAGATGATTAAACACACTAACTATTTATTATTATTATTATTTACATTATTTAACATTGTAGTCCACCTGTGAATGAAAGTTTTTAGTTTTGAGCAATATGTATTGATGGCGTAATATAGGAGTAAATTCAGATTTCATGCTGAATTTGGTATAAAAAAATCCAACCACTCACCAGAGATGCGAAAACATATTTCTGGTCTTTTTCTTGAAGGAACACCAAGACATCAGAAAGAAGAAGAGCATGGACATCTACGACAAAAACCAAGCAAACAAACAACAACAACAAAAACATGATACTGATGTTAGTTTACATTCACTTCCAAAATATTGTGGAACCACAAAAATCATGCAATATTAATGTAGATGTGCCAAATTTTGGACATTTGTATTTGAATGATTGTAGTAAAAACTAAATAAAATTTTTTATAAAGTATCATTTAAAATCCATTACATCTAAAGTTGATTATTATGAATGGTTACTGAAATACAATGTTTACTGAAACACAATATAATATTCATATAATTTATTTTAAAGGGCACCTATTTTACCACTTTTTTAAGGTTTAAGATAAGTCGGTCACACTTTACAATAAGGTTTATTAGGTAATGTTAATTAATGCATTTACTAACATGAACAAACAATAAACAATACATTTGCTACTGTAATTGTTCATGTTAGGTAATGAAAATACAGTAGTTCATTGTTAGTTCATGTTAACTCATGGTGCATTAACTAATGTTAACAAGCATGGACTTGGATGTTAATAATGCATTAGTAAATGTTCAATTATGATTAATAAATGCTGTACAAGTGTTGTTCATAATTAGTTCATGTTAGTAAATGCATTAACTAATGAACCTTATTGTAAAGTGTTACCGATAAGTCTTTTGTGTCTTCAAAACATGTCTGTAAAGTTTCAGCTCAAAATCGGATTATTTATTATACCTTTTAGAATATTTGAACTTTCTGATCTAAACACTATGTAGTTTTTGTTGCCTGTGCCTTTAATGCTAGTTCTCCCTGCCCATTGTTCCCATGTGCCTGTCAGAGTGTGCCTCAATCTCCGGCTGCGTCAGGTAAACAGCAATGTGACAGACATAAAGGAAGCAGATCTCACGCGACATTTGTGAGAAATACTAGAGTAAGAACTTTCCCAATGATTATTTGATGTATTTGTAGTGGAGTTAATTCAAGCCTTTCTGCAATGATGAGTTACATACAATGTCGTTATAAGTTCACGCACACACACAGGCACAGACACAGCAGAGGCATTTAACTTTGCATACAAATGTGTCAGGATACATGTTTATATGAACTGCTGTGTGGATATCTGTAATGTACAAAATAAACCTGATTTAAAGTCCCCAAAATGGGGAAGGGAAACCGCACTCCTACATCAAATTGAGGTCGGCTTCAAAAACAGAGAGAGACTTATTGTGTTTATGTCACTCCAATAAGACTTTGGACACACTTTACCTACACACAGTTCTGTCCAAACATCCTACAGAAGATGATTTTCATCGTAGGTGCCCTTTAATATTTTGTATAATGCATACAAAAATTATAAATTGACTGATTTATGGATTACATTAAACTGCTACAAATACTCGGTAGTAATTAAAACTACAACAAATATATTTATTTATTTGTTTATGTGTTTTTTTATTAGCAACGAAGTAATTAGCAACTTGAATAGAACTTGAAGTAGCTCATTTCATATAAAATAAATCAATCAATAAAAATAAGTGATATAAATACAAAGACTAAATACAAATTTGTAAAAATTTAAATAAACTTCAAATGTTAAATGAAAATAAAATAAATAAAATAAAATAAAATAAAATAAAATAAAATAAAATAAAAGAGCTATACCTTTGAGTCGTCCAGCTGTGTTCTTCAGCTGCAGAGGCCCATCATGAAGAAGCCTGCGTCCGCGCACAAGATCCTCTCGAGCAAACATCTGTCCGCTCTTCATCCGCGTGATGGACTTGCTGTCCGTTCGGCCGTAGATCTCCTTCAACTTCTTCTTCTTTTCATGTTCATTTACTTTACTGTCCACCGACGCAATTATATCCTTCAACAACTGAAAAGCCTGCGTCAAGTCCTCAAAATCCTTCTCGTTCTCTGCACACACACATATACATGCAGGTTTGTTAAGGGTACAAACATCAGAGGTTCGTTCTTATTTTCTTCTTCTTATTTATTTTTTGCCCTAAAAGTGTCAGGCCAACCAAAACCATAAAACCTAAAACAACCGCATTTGGAAGGATGGTCCTAAATCTACTCCAATACCCAGGTGTATACACACACACACACACACACACACACACACACACATAGAGAAAGGTTGGACCATAAATGGTAATATAACAGCACATTATTTCACTTTCTTGAAAATCAAAATACTATTTCCCAATGATTTTCTGACTTAAGCTGAACAAAACATCCAAGATTTTGTTGCCATGCATAAAATTATTACACCAGTTAGAGCCTTTTTTATTTAATCTTTATTTTTCAAACTCCTCCTAGGTCATTTGTGCAATTTATCACACATTTTGGCAACATATTGTAAAATAGTTTATATATATGTAGGGCAGTGTATGGCTTTGTCCACAAGGTGTCGCCATGACACTGTTGAATTAAAACATTCTGAGGATTCTAGCAATGTTTGAGCCTCTTGATGTACTTTAGTGCTGATAAATGCGTAGTGAGCCATATTTTCATCTATCAGTTTGTGTCATCAACCCTGATAGATGCCCTGCTGTCAAATTAATGGTCGAGTCACGATCACAAACCTCTATTTGCTTTGTTTCCCACCTTACACACACATACAACACAATGCAGAGAGGCCAGCGAGCACGCAGAGAGTGACTGGGTTACATATATACAGTGCTGTAAATAACAAATTACAAATACTCAAATTACTGTAACTGAGTAGTTTTTTCCTCAGGAATTGTCATTTATAAGGTAGTTTAAAATTGTGTTATTTTTCTTTCCGTTGAGTACATTTTAGTGCAGTACTTTTACTCCACTAGTTTCCTTTAACCTGGAGTCACTATTTTTTCTTGTCTATGGGGAATAAATAATTCAGTCCTGTGATTCCTCTCCAATCAAATCGCACATAGAAGGTAAATCGCATCATAATGAACCACCTCAAGACATGGGCGATTCATAACTGCAGCAAACTGCTTGGAATCATAAACGTGTCCAAGATGTCCAAAATCTTTACACGCATTGACCCAGAGACTGTTTAGATGCATGTCACTGATGAGAAGATAACGGATGTTTACTGTATGAAGACCGAAAAAGGCCTTAGACACACAGCAGGCACAAGACGTTAGATTGAAGTTGTACCCAAACGTCGTGGGGACGTAACCAAATATCAACGTCTAATGATGTTACACCTTCACACTGTGTAGACGTTACCACTATGACGTCTATTTGATGTTGGATTTTGGTTGCCAAATGTGACGAGTTAATGTCAGTATTTGACATCAATATGATATTGATTTAAGTTGTTGGCTTGACGTTGGATTTTGGTCACTTTCCAACACAACCTAAAATCAACCAAATATCAATGTAATTTGATGTCAATATTGCACATAAAAATAACGTTGTCCTTGGACATTGAATTCTGGTCACCTGACATGGAACTAAATCTAACCTAATATTAACATCTTATGACATTGTGTGTCCGGTGGGCAATAACTAAATGCACTACAGAATGTTACAATTACACTCAACCACAAATTACATGTAAACACATCAGCTTTTTACAGCATAATGCTCACTACTCTTGAGTACTTTTAAAAGAGCTATTTTTTTACTCATACTTTAAGTAGTATTTACAACAGATATTAGAGTAGTTCGAACAACTTACCTACATTTTTGGGCAAGTAATGGCACTTTAAGTTAAGTATGATTTTTCAGTACTCTTTCCAACACACACACGCACGCACGCACGCGCACACACACACACACACACACACACACACACACACACACACACACACACACACACACACACATATATATATATATATATATATATATATATATATATATAAGAGAATTGGCCCCCTCTAGCAACTACACATAATGCTTCCCAAAAGGTATCTTGATATCAGTTTGACATCAAATATTAGTCCAGACAGAGTCAGGATGGCAATTTCACTGGTAGCTGGGTGAAAATAGGAAGTTAATTCCACACTGAAATCAGCTAAATGTTTAAACATGTCAATATTTTTCAAGGTTGATCAATACCATGTGGAGATGTCAGTTTGATCTCCATATCTGCCTTTTTTTTAATTAAAATCAATTTGAATTTCTTTTCATCATTAACTGATCAATGTTGTGCTTGGTCCCGGATTACTGCTTGCATCTGTATTCATTTATTTATTTATTCATTCATTTAATAATTTTCATTTGTATTAGGGTGTTTTCACACCTGCCTCATTTAGTTCGGTTTAATCAGACTGGAGTTCATTTTCACTCTTGGTGCGGTTCTTTGGGGCAGGTGTGAATGCAGCAATCGTACTCGAGTGTGCACCAAAAGCGGACCAAAAAAGCGTACTGAAACCTGCTTGAAGAGGTGGTCCTGGTATGATTTCAAACGAACCCTGAAGTGGTTCATTTGTGGTGACTAAAACAGACCCAACCACAAAAAGTACAGCGCCATTTTGGACTAATCCAGCTGCCGTAGTTCGATGCGCTGTCCCATCTTATGAGATGTGAAAGAAAAATATTTGTTGACAGCGCTTTAACAACAAATTTAAATAGAGAGGAAAACACCTTACCTGATGGATCGTTGGTAATATTTCCCGAAGATGAGCATGTCGCAGTTCAGCTAAATGAATTCACGCCTCCTCCAGAAGTGACTTGCGATGCGCCTTCGCCATTTGCAATGCATTAAAATATTGTTTTTCAGCCGAAGCCGCGCTTCATTCTTGAAATGTATAGTTTGACTAAAGTGATTATTATTACTTTTTATTACCAATTATTACTTATTGGGCCTAAATCTTGCACACAGCAGATCTCGCAACTCAATTTACAATTAGAGGGATACAAAGTTAGTTTTAGCTCTACTATAAAAGATCTGGGTGTCATATTAGACAGCAATCTAACTTTTAAAAACCATATATCCCATGTCACTAAAACTGCCTTCTTTCATCTGAGAAATATCGCAAAATTACGAAATATGCTATCCATCTCAGATGCAGAAAAGCTAGTCCATGCTTTTATGACTTCGAGACTGGATTACTGTAATGCTCTATTTGCTGGCTGCCCAGCATCCTCTATTAACAAACTTCAATTAGTACAAAATGCAGCAGCCAGAGTTCTGACCAGGTCAGGAAAATATGATCATATCACCCCAATTTTATCCTCCTTACACTTGCTGCCTGTTAAGTTTCGTATTGAATTTAAAATATTACTTCTCACCTATAAAGCTCTAAATAATCTAGCTCCTGTTTATCTAACCAACCTTCTGTCTCACTACAATCCAACTCGCTCTTTAAGATCTCAAAATTCAGGGCTTCTGGTAGTACCTAGAATAGCAAAATCAAGTAAAGGAGGTCGAGCCTTCTCTTTCATGGCTCCTACACTCTGGAATAGCCTTCCTGATAACGTCCGAGGCTCAGACACACTCTCCCAGTTCAAAACTAGATTAAAGACCTATCTGTTTAGTAAAGCATACACTCAATGCATCACCTAGCGGGTTCCACACAGGCTTCTGCATCTTGCTTATATACACAATGAACAGCAGCTACGCTAATTATTCTCTTTATTCTCTATTTTCACCTGGGGATACTCATCACGAGGTCCTCAGATTATGCGGAGTCACTGATTGGATCCAAGACCAGCGACGTGATGATCCCAAGGATTCCATATCCGGGACCAGGCCATATCCTGAGCTGCTGCTGCGCTGATGGTCGTGGGGAGTGGAGAACATGAGTCTGATTCCAGCGACGTTCCAGGGACAGACGAGTCTTCGCTGGGGCCATCTTCCTGCCTAAACCACGGCGAATGAAGCTCTGCACAAGACTTTTGGCCAGCGGAGAAATTAAAATGGTCGTGCCCAACTGAGTCTGGTTCCCTCAACGTTTTTTTTTCTTCATTCCCATCAGGTGAAGTTTTTTTTTCCCTCTCCGCTGTCGCCACTGCCTCACATGGTTCAGGATTGGTTGAGCTAAGCATCGATGAATTGGCTCTTCAGTGTTTGAACTCTCAGTAATGATTAAACCACACTGAACTGAGCTAAACTGAACTGAACTGAACTTAAACACTAAAACCTGAACCACACTGTTTCAGTTACTATGACCATTTATGTGAAGCTGCTTTGACACAATCTACATTATAAAAGCGCTATACAAATAAAGCTGAATTGAATTTAATTGAATGTATAAAAACTATATAGTATACTATGAGCAGGGATACAATCAACCAGCAGAGTCGTCCATCTATATTAAAAAGACACATTTTGTGTCTGCAGGTTTGTTTACTTACGGGAGTTCCATTGGCATTTACCTGCACGTGAATTCTGACCAATCGAAAACCAGTCTAGGAAATACGTTCAATAACATCTGGCCAGTGAGTGATGTGGATTTTGTCACATGACTGCATTTTGGTTCTTTTCAGCTTGTTCGGACCAAAGCATTCAGTGTGCTGTGAAAAAGACCCAAAGACGGCAGAAAAATGCTACAATGTATCATTTGTTGCCCTTGGTCCAGACCAAACGATCTGAACCACAGATGTGAAAGCACCCTTATTCCCCTGTTTATCAGCGGAATGAACCGCCAACTATTCAGCTTATGTTTTATGCAGCGGACTCTTTCAGCTGCAACCCAGTACTGGGAAACACCCATAAACTCTCACATTCACACTCATACACTACGGACAATTTAGTTCATCCAATTCACTTATAGTGCATGTCTTTGGACTGTTGGGGAAACCGAAGCACCCTGAGGAAACCCACGCCAACATGGTGAGAACATGCAAACTCCACACAGAAATGACAACTGGCCCAGCCGGGACTTGAACTAGCGACCATCTTGCAGTGTGGCTACAACTGTATTTTGAAACTGAATTGCAACAAATTCCTATAAACAACAGACCAGTCCATTTTGTTTCACTGTAATATTAGACTATTAGACTGGCAATTTAAAGTCCTCTTGAGAGCTATAAGCTGCCTCTCAAATTGCCCCTGAAATGATATTTGTTAAACTTGACACTCACTTTAAAATCTCTTTGTTGGGAACGTGACCAAAAAGCCTCTCAGACTCGCTGTGCAGCAGTTGGAAGTGGTTTGCGGTGAGCGTGGAGTGTTTACAGGTTGCTTCTCGTGTATTTGGTTTAGCTGTAAGACAGCCGTGTTTACTGAGAGTGAAATATTGGTGCACTTCTTAAGCACTGATGAAGTACGGAGACTTTACTCCACAGCTGTGGCTCAAAAATAGCATTTTGGTGCACCCAAAAATGAGTTTGTCATCATTTACTCACCCTCCAATTCTTTATTTTTTTCTGTTGGACACAAAAAGAAGATATTTTGCTGGATAGCTGTAACCGCTGGCTTCCATATTTGTTTTTTCCTAGTATTGATGTTAATGGCGACTAGTTTGCAGCTAAAATATGTTCATTTCTGTTCAACAGAATAAAGAAACCCATATAAGTTTGGAAGCGCAAGAGAGTGAGTAAATAAATAGATTTTCATTTTTTGCATAAGCTACGACTTTAAATCCCAGCTGTCCGACTGAATCTCACCTTTGGTGTGCTGCAGGATCCTTTGTAAAAGCACCGGGTACTTTGTTATCCGCTGAGTGACCAGTAATATGCACTCTGGGATGCTCAGGCGCCGGACAACACTGCTGCTCATTTTTTTCTGGAGATAAAGAGGCATTGAAGGACTGTTAGGTATTCCTTATGGAAAGAATGGCCAAAACAAAGAAGAGAAGCATTTACCCTGATGAAGGCCTGGAAGCGTTTGTCTCTGGCATGCAGATCCTTGTAGAAGTTGACTGCTTCGTTGTGTCGGCTGCAGAATTTGCCATAGATTCTCTTCATGCTTTCTGCGTTGGAATCTGAAAACTGAAGGCCATCATGTGAGAAATCATTACAGGAGCCTGGATGTCAACAATTAAACTGCTTGCAAGTTGATGTGTGTTTGTGTCATATGAGACAAAAAACTTCTTTAGACCTATGAAATATTATTATACTAATATTAATATTATACTAATATTAATATTATTTAACACATAACGGCATTTTCATAGTTTTTCCTATTATATATATTGTTATCTGGAGAAAATCTTATTTATTTTAGGTAGGCTGGAATTAACACACTTCTATATTTAAAAAAACAATTTTAAGGAAAATATTATTAGCCATTAAGACTTTTTTTTTCAATTGTCCACTTGACAACTATTTATAACTCACCACAGGATATAACTTAACTATTTAACTTAATTACTCATTCATTAATTTTCCTTTGACTTAATCGTCAGGGGTCGCCACAGCGGAATGAACCGCCAACTATTTCGACATAGGTTCTACGCAGTGGATGCCCTTTCAGTGCAACCCATTGCTAGGAAACAACCATACACTCTTGCATTTACAAACACACACACACACTCATACTGTACTGTACACTACAGCCCGTTTAGTTCATCCAATTCACCATTAGGTTGTTTACAATCTAGTGGTTCTGGTGAGGCACAAAATTCAGAGGGGAGGAAGTAAATAACTGAGTGGGAAACATAGGGGAAAGTCAGTATTTTGTTTTATACCATATTTCAAAGGAGATATAATTAGAAAATAACCACATATGTTGGGCATGATCCTTATATTATGAAGAGGACCGAGTTTTCAACTGGATTGAACAATTTATCCAATAGGCTACATTTTTATAATATATACACCATCACAATGCACCACAGTTTACACTGACATTACATTATTCATTACAGTTAATCAGTTTAACAGTATTCTGTAGCATTCATTAAGGAAGAGCTGTACTGTACACTTTACTAAAGTGCAATTCAAAAACATATTACAATCTATTATTAGTTTTTTCCATTATATTTTCCAGACATGTACACAAAAAAAAACACACAAAAACATGAATGCATAGTCTACATTATTATTATATTATTATTTTTTTATTGTATTTTTTTTTGTGGATGATAAACGGTGCTCCACAATAATAACCGTCTGGTTTTGCTCACAAGCGTTGCATTTCTTTTTTGTTCGGTCGGTGAATTTACCATCAAACATTCAACGCTGCTGCACATCTCGATGTTAATGTTACGGTTGTTATTCTGCCGAAATGCAATTAAGTGCAGTTATTTATGTTCTCTTGGACTTTGTATATGTGTGTGGTGGTGTTTGTATCTGTTTTTTATTTAACACATTAACATATAATACACATAGCTAGGCCTGTATATGATCTTTATTGGTGCTGTTAAAAGAATTATCGCGTTCAAAAGTTTGTGGACATGGATATATTGAATGAATGCTTAGTAAATGCCACATTTTCTTCCATTTTTAAGTGAATTTCTTAAACTTTTCCCCCTTTATGAGCAAAAACCTTTGAAGGCCTATAAAAGCTGTTTGGCATTTATCATTTCGGCTGATTTAAACAATTATAAACAACATAAAACAGAAACATTTTTTATCTTCTGATAGCTATTCCTATGCAGAAGAATAACTTCCTGCCCTCCATCTAAGTCATGTGAAAACAACCTATAGCCCATGTCTTTGGACTGTGGGAAAAACCGGAGCACCCAAAGAAAACCCACGGCAACACGGGTAGAACATGCAAACTCCACACAGAAACGCCAACTGGCCCAGCTGGGACTTGAACCAGCGACCTTTTTGCTGTGAGACCACAGTGCTAACCACTGAGCCACGTTGCCCTAATGTAATTCAACTGCACATTATTCTAAATACAAGTGTTTTACGAAATAGTTAACTAGTTAAATTGGTAATTTAAAATAATTAAACTTAATGAGTAAATTTAAATTCATTAAAATGTAACTATGGCAAAAACAAAGTAAATCAGTTATCATAAATTTGTTATTCAAACTATTGAGTGTAAAAAAGCACTTGTAAAATAGTTTTACAAGAATAGAAATGTCTCAGGAGGGCTAATCATTTTGACTTCACCTGTATAAAATGTCCTCACCTGGCTGACCAGCAAATCTCCTATCCTGTGGATCAAGAATCCGTCTGTCCCGTCCAGCCGGGCCTCTTTTTTTCTCTCCAGCAGAGCGCTGAAAAAAAAGGAGTGCAGCTCCAGCAGATCATCCAGCATGGGGAACATCTTCTCCACCGCCTGGGGCTCCAGCTGCAGATCCATCAACAGACCCTTGCTGTACACATCACACATGATCCGTAACGTCCGCAGGTGATGCATCTCTGTCTGGATCAGCTCTGGATCGAGACAAGGAGAGGATGTTTAGAGACGCACATCTAGAGAGGCGGATGAAGAAGACTATTTGAGAAGCTAAAGATTCCTATGGGAAACTGGCCAGCTGCTTCTAAACCATTTGCATCAGTTCGCATTCAAATGAACTTACGTTGCTTGTTTGTTACTTTTTTTAAGATAAAAAAAGGTAGATAGGTTAAAGCCTATAGACCTTTTTCATGGCTGCTGCATGGAGGGCGCCATAGCGACCAGCGTCTTCCGGTAGAATGCTAAAAACTTCAGCTTACAGCAAGTACAACTGGTAATTTTCGCTCCGAAAATGGGTTTCAATAACGTTTTTAATGGATAACAAGAGTATTTTGTGACACACAACTTAGAAATGTGTCTGTTAAAGCCGTTATAATCTGTCACATGTGGTTCAAGCGTGCCAGAAATACGAGAAAAACGTTCTCCTAGTTCACGTGTCTGCCGTCAGAAATACTGTGTGACGGCACACACACGCACACACACACACAGAGAGAGAGAGAGAGAGAGAGAGAGAGAGAGAGAGAGAGAGAGAGAGAGAGAGAGAGAGAGAGAGAGAGAGAGAGCAAACCAGAGTACTGGCATGAAACTTAACAGGTATGAAAGTCGTGCAATTTACAAAAATGACCAATAAAAGTCTGTTATTGATCCTCTGCTGGCTGATTTGCTGTTCATTCTAATCGTGAGCCGTTGGTGTTTTATTTGGTGTGTTGTATTCACCAGGGTTTGTGTTTTTCTGTCATTTCGAAATGACACTAGCCTATATTTCACTTTGTCACAGTTATTAAATCAGTGTGTCAGTGGCACAGTACAGGCTACGTGTGTGTGTCAAACATTTTGGTGAATTACATTTGTTTGGGCTGGTTATATATTTGAAATAAAGAGAAAATGTTGACTTTAGCGATGACAAGGCTTCACTTAAACTGAAGAAGATGTCGTCTGACAACGAGGGGAAAACACCTCACAGCAGCTGTTTTCCATCCTATTAGATCGCATTTCTTTAAATTATCAGTCCAGGAGATGGTGCTGATGGACAACAGTATTAGTTCAAAGAGGATAAAAGCAGGTAAAATAGATTAAAACTATCATTTCAAAGCTGTCCAAATGTGACTGTTTACACGCATCAGCTGCCGACTGGAAGTTCTTCGCATTCTCCTTGCGCATACACGCAAAGCATAATGGGTAATTTTGCATTCCAAGAAAAAAGGTCTATATTCAATTCAATTCAATTCATCTTTATTTCTATAGTGCGTTTACAATGTAGATCGTTTCAAAGCAGCTTCACATGGAAGTTCTACTAAATTTAAACAGTTTCAGTCGAGTTTTCAGAGTTGAAGTTCATTTTAGTTCACTGAAATTAATTGTTTAATTTTCACTGCTGAAAGTCCAAACACTGAAGAGCAAATCTATCGATGCGCAGATATAATGGCCATATATACCCATTTTTATGAACACAAGATAAAGTATCAAACTTGTATAAAACTATTCCCGAAACACCCTTTTTTTTTTTGTGAAGCTGCTCACCAGAAGAATATTAGGCAATTAATAGCAATTGAGTTAGGATTCAAACGAAATCACTCGTATAATGTTCACATGCTTTAAAAGTCTTAATGTTAACCTCTCTGATTCAACACCAACCTCAAATCTGCAATTTTGGCACAGTGAGCTTTCACAAGCTAGCCTCCGTTACATGGTCACACCATTAACAGCTGACTCTTCCCTTCTGTGTGAAGGCAGTTCTCTAAACTGAACCTCAGATTGTGTTATTTACAAGCTATTCTGCAGTGTTTGAAATTTGCATTTCTATCATTCATAGCTATCATTCATCATGATAGCTGTTGATAATAATGAAGCCTAACTTGTACTGCATAAGCGCACAAAACTGTATTTATAATTGTTATTGTTATTTATTTATGCACTTTTGTTATTTTTTTTTAGATTCTTTTTTCAATGAAGTGAGAAAAAAATAGGACAAAAAAACATCCTTGCAACCAAATGACCAGCTATGCAGAAAGAAATCACTTAAAGTAATAACTAGTGGTGGGCCATTATCGGCTTTAACATACTGCGTTAACGCGAGACTCTTATCGCGCGATTAAAAAAATATCGCCGTTAAACAATTCTTAAAGTTGGTTTAGGAGCTGTGTCTATTCTACGCAAGCTATAGTGACTTTCACCTTGATATTTTAGCGCAGCTGTATATCTCACCGGTGAGCCTTCTGACAAAAAAGTGCCCTTCTAAATCAAATCAGCAGTATGCCTGACTTTAACTGCAGTTCGGCAGTTTCACTTTAATTCATGAACATTTCATTCATGCCCCCATGACAAACTGGGGTATTAGACGCAAGTAAGAACTGGTGAGAATGTTATGGAGTTTAATAACGCACGCCAAATGGAAATTAAAAAAAAAAAACTTCTGCATTTAACGATGTGTGTGTGTGTGTGTGTGTGTATGTGCACGGTCCTTCACTGACAGCCGCGTGTGTGGATCTTTTCAGAAAATATGGCAAAAAGTCCTACATGATGGTAATAGTTTGATCGTGGTGTTTACTTCAATAATGCCACTAAAACCTGCATATTACACGCCTTAATTTCTATTTAGTTCAGTTCTGACTTAAGTCAGATTAAGGTAACCAAAATCGCTGTTTGGAGCTTATGTAGGCCTACAGTTCAACATTCATGTTTAACTTAATAAACAGTTAGTAAACACAAGTACATCTTATTAAACATCATTTAATTTCATCACCAATTATCATAGTAGAACAGTTTCTCAAGCAGTTTGTGATGCATTTTAGAAACAGGAGATAAGCCCAGTTCACAAATTCTGAATGCCTTCGGTAGAATTTAAATGAGCCATTTTAATCTAGATTAATCCATGCCACCTATAATAATAACGTATTTTTAACATCAAAGAGATGTTTTTTTAAAAGTGGTCTATGCAATTTTGATTGATCTTTATTTCACATTTAGTTGTAGTAATCTCATCAGCACGGTTTACCAGTGGTGTTGGCCACATTTTGCAACCATTTAAATAGTGCTACAGAATAAAGGTACAGTGACTGCTTTAGGTCATAAAGAAATTAAAATGTATTTGGTTCTACCACAGTCCTACCATAGATGACGTCTTGTCTCTTAATGATGTCCTTCTTGAGTTGTTTCAGATATTTCTTGTCTACAATAAGGCTCCAGGAGTCGGCCTCCAGTTCTTTAACGTCTGCTTCAAAATCTCCCATCAGCCGACTGTCGACCATCTCAGTTCCTAAAGCCATGAAGGGGGAAAAAAGTACATTACTACATAAATTACATTACTAGTCAATCTAAGGGAAAAACCTAATAAAACAACTACAAGAAACCGACAATAATGACAAAAAAGGAAACCTGTCCCATAATCAGTGTTTAACTTTTGCTGAATCTTGCTGGATCGTGCAAGCGAAGGTGTGTACATTAGTCACCATGCACAAGTTAAAGTCAAAGTCACGTTTAACTATTGGCCCTTAACAATATTTTCAGCAAATCGGCTTACTTATGTTTACAATCACTCTCATTAGCTGATCATTGTTTTGCGTGCAGTGAGCAGCGAAAATAATGGCATAGTGATTAACTAATATTTTTTCAATCTCGCAAATGCAACTTAGTACATTATAATCCTATACTGTATATTCCACAATTTTAAGAAGTAATTGTGGGATAAAAAGGTGCAACTGCATGGGCAAAAAGGTACAGTTTTCTCTTTTTTATCATATTACAGAATGTTCTCAGAAATCCACATATATTTTTTCAAAGACTTCTTTCTCAGAATTATTTTTTTTATAATTTTGTAAAATATAAATTTAAAAAACATTTTTTTAAATATAAACTCAGATAATAATAATAATAAATAAATAAATAAAATAAAATCTCAAATAAGCAAAACAAAAATAAGTTTCTTTTTTATTATTATTTCTTAAAATACTAAGAAACAAAACAATTATCACTTTATTCTAGAAATTTTCATTCTCGAAAAATCTGAAGAGCGAATTACAACTAAAAGTCAAAGATTGACTATTTATTTAATTTATACTTATAAGAAATAATAAGAAAAAAAAAGACACAAGCCAAGACACAAAGATACACAAGACAAAATAACACAAAACAAATATAACATTGAAAACCAGCTCTGACTTTATTTATTCATCCATTCATTTTCCTTCAGCCTAGTCCATTGTTTATCAGCCAGGACTCGAATCAGCGACCTTTTTTCTGTGAGGCGACAATCCTAACCACTGAGCCACCCCCAATTGTTTTGTGTCTGGAAGGACTCATGTTTTTATGCATCCTAAAAGTCCACGCCCATACACATAGTGTGCATAGTTTCAATAAATATCTACATCTAGATGGGTAACGTGACAACTGGGTTAAAATACATATACCACACCTATATGTGTTGCTGAAAACAAACACGGACAAAGACAAACTGTGAGCATGCACGTAAAGTCTTCTTTAGCCCCCTGAGCAAAAAAACAGGACTTTAAAATATCTGACACATATAACTGTTCATGTGGTTCTTGTAAACAGTGCTAATGAACAGCACAAACTAAGCACTGTGACTATAGAATACACAAGACAAATGAAGCCCCGTCTTCAACCTCCACAGAATGATGATGAATAAGTGTGTTTTTGCGACAGCTTCATACTTCCCTTAACAATCTCAAGCAGTTTAAAGCTTCATAAAAGGCATGAAATCACATCTTATATACTAGAATAAAGAAATATGTCCGCTCACCTTCGTCTAGAGACTCATTGGACGCTGTGACCTTATTGGGTTTATGGAGCGAGTCTGTGGATTGAGATAGATACCGCCGACCACTAAGAGGCATGTCGTCAAACCTGCACAAAGAGGATGAGGCATTTTTGGTCATGACAGAAGGTCAGTGAAATCAAGTGCTTCGTACAGACACATCACTCACTTTAGGAGTCAGCAGCTAAAGAGTTAGCATTTTAATTTGTATTTTGAAAATGCAATGCTACTAAAGGATTCCTATTTGTTCCTATTTATTATGTAGAGCTGCATGATATTAGACAATTTCACAATGAAATATTTTGTTTTACTGCAATATATATATTTATATACACACACACTACCTTACAAAAATCTTGTTGCCTATCCAATTTTTAGGATCAGGAAACAATAACTTGACTTCTAGTTGATCATTTGGTATCAGAAGTGGGTTATATGAAAGGCAAAGGCTTCAAGAATATGCCTAGACAAAAGTCTTGTCACTTAACAGAAATAATGTACATAGAATATAAAGTCGCAGTGGAAAAATAATGAATATTGCGTATGACTCCCATGAGCTTGGAGGACTGTGTCAAAGAAAGCGTTCTTGCAGGACTCCCAGAGTTCATCAAGATTCTTTGACTTCATCTTCAATGCCTCCTCCTCCCTTTTACCCCAGACATGCTCAATAATGTTCATTTCTGGTGACTGGGCTGGCCAATTGGAGCACCTTGACCGTCTTTGCTTTCAGGAACTTTGATGTGGAGGCTGAAGTATGAGAAGGAGCGCTATCCTGCTGAAGAATTTGCCCTCTCCTTTGGTTTGTAATGTATTAAGCAGCACAAATGTCTTGATACCTCAGGCTGTTGATGTTGCCGTCCACTCTGCAGATCTCTCACACGCTCCCATACTGAATGCAACCCCAAACCATGATTTTTTTTTTCACCAAACTTGATGATTTCTGTGAGAATTTGGGTTCCAATAGATCCTTTGCAGTACTTGTGATGATTTAGAAGAAGTTTAACAGATGATTAATTGGAAAAAGTTACCTTCTGCCACTTTTCCAAATGATCAAGTCAAGTCTAGAAGTTCAAGGTCTTACAACTGGGCTTGACGACAAGACTTTTATCAGGTAGTGTGTGTGTATATATTTTTTGTATATTAAGATTTGAATAGCTCTATTTGGAAATTTTCATTAACCTAGATTAAATAGTCCTTTTCTATGCAATGGATCTGCATAAATTATAATAAATTAACATAAATAAATAAATAGTGCTTTATGGTTTACTGGGGAATCTAACAGTATTCAAATAAAGGAATTAAACAATTACATGTAAAATAGCATGAGCAACATTATATAGATAGAAACAAAATATATATAAAAATACATATTTCAATCTTTAATAAACAATCTAATCCTGCAATGTGACAATAGCAGATACACACATTGCGGTATCAATATTGTTCAGCTCTATTAGCCTGCACAGTGTAACTGAGTAGGTACTAACATTGCAATATTGTTGATGGACATGCTTTTGGAGAGGTTGCTGCTGTGGAAGGGCATAATACTAGTGGGTCGCCTGGATGGAATGATCACAGAATGTTCCTCTGGGGAAAAGATAGCAGACCATGGTCTCTCCCGAAGCGTGGACGCTACAAAAAAATTATATAAGTAATATTCAGATTGGCTGATGTCAACAGTATGAGTATGAAAAGAGAAATAAAGCTAACTGTTTATAAACAAACATACATTTTGTTCGTAGAGTGACGACAGGCATGGTGGTGGACTCTGGTATTGCAAACTGCTATTTATGAAACAAAGAAAGAGAATACAATTCAAATACAATTCTGGATGTGCAAATGACATAATATGACATTTTAGAAGAAAAAAAAAATCAGCAAACCTTCATTCTGCTTTTAAGACAAATAGGGATGTTTTCTCTACAACTCTTATGAACTCTGATATTGCAATCTGTAGAAAAGTATGCAAGTAAAATACATTAGAAATGCTTTTTCTGCAATACGCAACATAAATATTACATTATTAATCATTCATATCATATCAATCATATTCATTTTGCTACCAAAGCATATGCACATTGTCTTCTGAGTGCAAAGATATACTTTTTTTTTGTTGAGTATGACCAAACGCAATGGTTTGATTTACTTTTAATGGAAGTCATTGTGTTTGCTATTCTGGCTCATGGTCAAAGTGGTAAAGAGAGTTGGGTTTAGGGTTAGGAAGTTTTCCAGTCAGGAAACTCCACCAAGCACACAAATTAAATCCCGGGAACATGCCAACGAGCTCTGGAAATACAGATTTGTCTTAAAGAGCAAGACTTAAGGAAGAAAAACCACATCATCATATGGTTCCTGGAGAAAATACTATACTCACAAACACTTTCAAACCTCAAATAAAAAAAAGTATTTGTTTAATGGATGGGCGTCAGCCAGATAGATAGACAGATAGGACAATGGAATAGATAGAATTCTATATAGATAGCTAGAATTATAGATAGATCCATGGATGGAGTGCTAGAATGCTAGACAGAATGTTAGATGGAACACTAGATAGATAGACAGACAGACAAAATGATATAGACAAACAGACAGATAGACAAACAGATAGAACGATACAATGCTGGATAGAACGTTATAGTAAATAGCTAGAAAAATAGATAGAATGATAGAAAGCTAGGTCAATAGATAGACACACAGACAGAAAGACAGACAGACAGACAGACAGACAGACAGACAGACAGAATATATGGATGGATGGATGGATGGATGGATGGATGGATGGATGGATGGATGGACGGATAGACAGATAGACAGACAGACAGACAGACAGACAGACAGACAGACAGACAGACAGACAGACAGACAGACAGACAGACAGACAGACAGACAGACAGACAGACAGACAGACAGACAGACAGACAGACAGACAGATAGATAGATAGATAGATAGATAGATAGATAGATAGATAGATAGATAGATAGATAGATAGATAGATAGATAGATAGATAGATAGAACAACTGAGCAAGACAGAAAGACTGTCTACAGATAGACATACAGACAAAATTATATACTGTACAGATAGATAGATATACAGACATGCATAAAGATAAAATGATAGATTTTATTTAGAGGGCTTTTATACATGCGATATGAGAAAAGAGAAATTTAAAACAAATAGAGAGGGGAATAAGAACAAAACAATGCAGACAAAACTTCTCCCCGGATGAATCAGTTTGTGTTTTAAGCAGCTCCATGAGGAAGTGAATGATGCTACCAGAACAGCTTCCTATTTTTTGAGCAATGACTCTTTTGAAATGCGTGACACAACAGTTCTGACATCTTTAAACCCCCTTTCAAAAGTGTTTTTCTCCTCTTTAGTCATACATAACATCAAAGATCCACTTCATTTAAACATTATATTTGTCCCACATCATTCGAGGTTCAGTAAGCACCCATTAGGTCAACATGAAATCTAGAAATCTAGTATCTAGTATAAAAACTTAAGATTTTAAGATGCTTACTTGTGCAGTGGACAGCATCTTTAGTGTTGAGCGTTTTATTGCACTGCTGACACAAAGCCGGATGCAGAGAGTTTACTGCGGTAAACAGGTGCCCATTCACTGATTTCTTCTCTCTCTCTTTGGCCTCTCTGTCTTTTTCGCGATTCTTTTCCTTTTCTTTTTCCTGTGTCAAAAAAGTAATAAGACATATTACAATAGCTGACACTGGTCAACACTTAGGCCCAATCCTAATTCTATTTTTGTACCCCTACCGCTTGGCCCTTGAAACAGAGTGTGAAGGGCTTCAAAATTTACCCCTAAGAAATGGGACAGCACAACAACACCCACACACGTCATCACAGTCTCTTACTTCATATAAGATTAACGATGGTGACTGCTGTAGTTATTCTAGTTGTGTTATTTTTTTGGTATTTATGTTGCAGATGTGGCCAATCAGATACATAATTATTTTGCTTTATTCAACAAATAAAACACCATCAGCCTCTACTTCCTAGAAAAGACTGGATGGTCTGTCTGTAATCCGATTCCAAGATATTTACGGCAAGAAAAGAATCCGCTTGGAAATGGACAGAAACATGCTCAAGCTCCTACACGCTTCTTGCTTAAGACTTATGCTTTTAATCTAAACCTTTATTCCCTCTGTGAGTGTAATCAGATGTTTTTGCAACAAGTCTCTTGCTCGCATATTAATATTATTGTTTAAATCCTCCTGCAATCAATGTTAAACTCTAACACAGCTAACAAGACTGTAGCTACTTCATGTTTGATGTCCCTGGGAAGTTAATCTAGTGTACTGAACGTTCGTTTGCTTTTTATGTTAATATGTGTGCAACATATTAACATTTTAACATACAATCTTCAACAGCAGTCATCCAGAATGCATATGCAAATCAGCAAGCTTCCCAACAAAGTCCCATAAAACTTCCTATGGGAAAAAACTTTCTTATTGGTCAACTCAGCTCCTGAGGGTGTTAGAAGACCACCCTTATAAAAGCTGGTGACTTAGGGTGCTTTCACACCTGTGAATCGATTCAGTTGTTCCGAAACAGAGATTACAATTGTTACATTGTTGCTCTTTGTCCTTGGAGCGGTTCGCTTTCACACTGCAAAGTTTCTAATCGGACCAAAAGAGCTAAAACAAGTCACGTGCGAGTAAACTCTCTTCACATTGGTCAGAGTGTCAGGGTTTATTTTGTCCAGCTAAGCTGTCAGGAGAGGTGGTGGTTTGGTGGTGATTGACAGGGTGCGCGCGCGTGACGTGTCTAAGGAGAGATGCGGTGGGGAGGGGTGAGAAGGGTGCGCGACGATGCCTATTTGAGGACTGGGAGGGAGACGCGAGATTATCGGGAGATCATCACTCATTTGCGGGCATCCGGAGACTCGCGAAACTTCCCGCCCTACTCATAATTCTCTCTTCATATAGCCGTAAGCCTATTACATATCCATAAAACACTGTGATATAACCGCGCTCGGATCGGATCGCTTTCTCACTGCAATCGATCCGCTCCAGGGTTCGTTTGAATCGAGCCGAGACCACCTCATTCAAGCGATCTCGGAGCGATTACTTTGGCGCGGAACAGAGCGCGATTGCCCTGTTCACATATGCCAAACGAACCGCGCTAACTGGGCAATCGAGACACGTTCCGAAACAAAAGTGTAGGTGTGTAAGCACCCTAAGGCCGGCCCCCGGAGAACACTGGAGAACTCCAGAAGAAGGAGAACCGACACAGTCCCAAAGAGAAAGAGTTGTTCCATTCCAGCTCAGGACAGCTTCTCTTTAGGTCGAGAAAACAGACTCAAACTTTCCATCTCTGATACCTTTCTTTCTTTTCCATCAAGAGTTAGTCTAGTTAAGTTTAATACGCCGCAGTAGTCAACACTCGACTTGCTGCCTAACAAACTTGAAATGACAGACTCAACCCCACAGGACAAACAGCCGGCCACCAACTAACCACGTAGGAACATTAGTTTAACAGAAAGAGTCCTTCACATCACACAAGGAATGAAAGTAACGCCTCCAGATTACCACTGAACTGCTGTAAATTAAATGTAACCCTAAAGAAACAATCAAAGGGTTAAATTGATTATTTTTGGTTCGCTTGGTTTGGTTTTACAAAATTTGACGTTTTACATCAATACACTCTCTCAAAGTCTTATTTTTCCTTCTTTACCCTCCTCTACAACCTTTATGAATGTGTGTTTGTGTTAGTTTCTGTTAGATTATTCAATAAAGTTTAATTTTGTATAAAGGAGGTGCCTGTGCATACTTCTAAATCTAATGTCTTAAACTTCAATCTTGTTACCCTGCTTAAACATAACTGGGGTTTTATTTTTGATAGCAATAGCCGTAGTTGAAGTCTACTGGAAGTTTTGTTTGTTCGGATTTAAAGAGTCGGCTCTTTTGAAGTCCCCTTCAAATTAATCTTTAATTCACTTTCAGCTAATTCAACACATTTATCTTCAGGAAATTACTGAAGGCATCGATATTATGTTATCATAATGGTATAATGTGGCAATAAGATCATAACTGTACTGTGCATTTACACTATGGCTATATTAATCTATGTGAACTCGCACATCTAGCCCTTCCCCATAGCCCTATGCCTTCAGGCTAAAGAGAATTGGGACAGCCCTACCCCTTCAGGTGAATGCGCAAAACGAGGGCTAGGGGTAAGGGAAAGGTGCAGACTTGGGATTGGGTCTTAATACGCAGAGAACAGTTCATTGCCATCAGTTGAAACCTATTAACCAGCAGCTAGCTCTCTGCAACTTTCACATGGTCGCCCACTGAAACCAAGTAGGGTTGCGCCTGGTCAGTACCTGGATGGGAGACCACATGGGAAAACTAGGTTGCTGCAGGAAGTCATGTTAGTGAGGCCAGCAAGGGGCGCTCAACCTGAAATCTGTGTGGGTCCTAATGCTCCAGTATAGTGAAGGGGACTCTATACTGCTCAGTGAGCATCGTCTTTCGGATGAGACCTTACACCAAGGTCCTGACTCTCTGTGGTCATGAAAAATCCCTGGATGTCCTTCAAAAAAGATGTTACACCAGTGAGATTGTTACACCGAGGTTCTGACAATCTGTGGTCATAAAAAATCCCAGGAAGTCCTTCGAAAAAGAGCAGGGGTTTAACCCCAGCATTCTGGCCAAATTTGCCCACTGGCATTTTTCCATCATGTCCACCTAACCATCCCTATATCATAAGTGGCATTATCACGGTCTCCTCTCCACCAATCAGCTGGTGTGTGGTGTGCAGCCTGGCGCAATATGGCTGCCGTTGTGTCATCCAGGTGGATGCTACACAATGGTGGTGGATGAAAAGATTCCCCCAATGTGTAAAGCGCTTTGAGTGTCCAGAAATGCGCGATATAAATGTAAGAAATTATTATTATTAATTATTATTAACCTAAACTGAACATCATTTACTGTAATTGCATTTCTGCGAAACAGATTAATATTTCATAAGAGAAAATGCAAGTTCCTATGATATACAGGGCAAACTTATGCACCATTGGATTTGTAGTTAATGAGTATGCAAAATAAAACTGACAACAATACAAGAAGTGTTAATGATTCCATGCAGCAAAAAAGAAATGCAATGCCGATTTCATATGGACCACATTTTCATTTTCACAGTGTTGCACGCAAACATCCTCTCAATTGTTGTTAAGTTCTCCAGTAACAAATTTCAGCTTCCTACTTGTAAAAATAGGACTAAAGTTACAGTAAGCCACTTCAATAGAATTGCTTTTTGCAATAAAACCCCTACTTGAATACTGTAGAATACTATTAGAAATGCGTTTAAAAGACAATCACTGTGACCATAAAGCACAATGAGCAATGTTTCCATTGTTAGGCAACTAAGGAGTTAACCATATCTGAAACTGTAAATATCAAGAAGTGACAAGAGAGAAAAAAAAGAAGGTCAACAGACACCAGAGGAAGTGGCTGAGTTTCAGCTTACCTCTTCTACCTTCAAGGTTTTCACCTTCTGATAGCGGCCCTGTACCTCGCAAAACTTTCGATACAGCATTACTGTAGGAGGCAGATGGCCTTGGCAAGACTCTCAACAACACAAGACATTTAGCATCAACTTAGACTGGGGAGGAAGTGATCCAGCTTGAGCTGGGAGGTGCTGTGACTCTCGCTTCCTCTTTTTATCACACTCTTGATGCTGGTTTCAGAACAGCAAAGTGCTGACGAAATCTGAACACGTTGAGAGATATGCAAGTCTTTTTGTTTTGGTTAATCAGAACAATTGCAAGACTTTCAGAGTAAACTTTTAGCTTTTAAAGGGCACCTATCATGCAAAATCATAGGTTGGAAGATGTTTGGAGAACATTCAAATCCAAGTCCGAGGCCATGATGCTCCACCGGAAAAAGGTGATTTGCCATCTCCAGGTTGGAGGAAAGTCCTTACCCCAGGTGGAGGAGTTCAAGTATCTCGGGGTTTGTTCACGAGTGAGGGAAGGATGGAACGTGAGATTGACAGGGGGACTGGTGCAGCGGCAGCAGTAATGCGGTCAATGTACAGGTCCATTGTGTTAAAGAAGGAGCTGAGCCAAAAGGCTTATTTACATAAGCTTTGGGTCATGACCGAACAGATGAGATCTTGAATACAATCGGCCGAAATGAGTTTCTTTTGAAGGGTGGTAGGGCGCACTCTTATAAATAGGGTGAGGAGCTCTGACACTCAGGAGGAGCTTGGAGTAGAGCTGCTGCTCCTCCACATCAAGAGAAGTCAGCTGAGGTGGCTCGGGCATCTGTTTCAGATGCCTCCTGGACGCCTACCTAGAGAGGTGTTCCAGGTATGTCCCACCGGGAGGAGGCCTCGGGGTAGACCCAGGACATGCTGGAGGGACTATGTCTCTCGGCTGGCCTGGGAACGCCTCGGGATCCTCCTGGAGGAGCTGGAGGAAGTGTCTGGGGAGAGGGAAGTCGGGATTCTCTCCTAGGACAATGTGATAGAGCAGTGCTTGTTTCCCCTGCCCACTGATATTAACTGATAGGCACATATTAGGATAATAACACCTATAATCGTAACATGATTTGCAAAGAAACTTGGATTAAATGATCTGTTCCAATTTTCTGTGATCCAAGTAAGTGCTACACTTTGCAATTTTTAATAGCATTTTAAACTACAGTATACTTTCTGAGCTATGTAGTTCATAAACCCTTTTCATATTTCTTGGTTTTTCTGTAGCAAAAGTCATACTAGTTGGGAAAACAGTGAATAGGAGAGTATAACAAATACATTTTTACAATCCTATTTTCTGAAATAATAAAAGAAAAACTCCACTATAATGTTATAAAGACTTTCAGAAAAAGGAAAAAATAGTGTGATAATGATAGCAGCAGCCAGAAGAAAGAGCAGCATCAAATCTACTGTCCTGTCCCATAGAAGCTGAATCTGAAACACCTCAAATTAGTGGTGATTTTTTTTTTTTTTTGCTCAATTTGCTTTTGATTATATGTTATTGTTAATAATTTATGATATTCATCTATGTGAAGACACTGATCATGTTAATGATTTCTCACAATAGTTGTCAACAATGATTTGTAAGTAGGAAACTGAGAAATATCAATATGCAGCACTTAATTTCTATAAATCTCTGCAAGTATTTACATTTTCAAATGATCACTTCTACAATATTTTCACTAGCCACTAACAATTTTTAACAAATCATGCTCTACGTTGTTCCATGTTTGTACAGATTATCCATTGTTTAACATAAATTTTCAGATTTTGCTGAAATTATCACAAAATCTATAGCATTTTTAACATAGCCTACACTCTTCTAACCATTGTAGTTGTCCCAATTTTGACATTGGAGAGAGTTGAGATTAAATCCGTTCTTGTCTTTAAGCACAGTTTTGCCTTCCAATCTGAAAATGCGATGTTTTTCTTAAAAATGGAATGTGTAGCTCTAAATGAGGCTTCAGTTGCTTTTGGGGGCTTAATCACAACTGAAATCTAAAACTTTTGGCTGACACTGGTGCTGCGACAAGGACGTAAGAAGCATCAATGGTACATCAAAGGAAGACACACGGGTACACGTTGTGTCACACCAAAGACTATAGACTTCTTAAAGGCACTTTGGTCACACTAATTCTAAACTTTTATTTCTAAACAACTTTGAGGGATACGGACACCATCGGCAATGTTAGGCGTGCCGAATAATGGGTTTTATTTTCGTATTAGTGATTGTGATAGCGAATTGTTCTTTTTAACTGTATCTTCTAAGTGAACCGGTTAAAAAACTTTTCACGTCTCCAGTAAGCACTCTTATCCACAAACTACTGACTTTTTAACAGGCCTAATTCTCTCTCTGACTTGAAATAAACCAATATATAATGAGGTTTTTAGTTATTAGAACAGTACACTGCGATCAGATTTGAAAAGTGGTGAACCGGTAATGCTGCACATGCATGATTCAGTGAAACACACACAAACAGTACATGACAGCCTGCTGTGACTGAACTAAACTTGAATAAACTGTAGCATGGGCTGAAAGGATCTGGCAAAAAAAAACATACATTTATTTCATAACAGAATTGTAATAGAGTTAAGTGAATCATGATACAGTTGGGTTGCAAAACGTAATTATAAGGAACTTTTTAGATCATGGTGATGTTTTAACAGACGGAAATTATGATTGTTGACCACAAATGTTTGGTATGTTCAGTCTTAACATGGGAGGATTGTCACAAAAGATACGGTTTGTGTTAAAGATCTGAACTTTCCATCACTACAGTGTATCTAACCTCAGAAGCAGCCTTGCACACATATTGTACTAAGAGCAGCTATCTTGTGAGCGGTCGTATTTGAATTTGAAGATGGGTAGTGGTAGATGATAGTGGTTATGTGTCCTCTGAATACATCCAAAAAAGATACAAAAAAGATACAAAAAAAAAGTATCTTTAGTTTTAGTTATATAATATTTATTCTAATGATTCTGGATCTTGCACCTAGAAAATATCCTTATTTAGAAAAAAAAACCTAAAAATAATATCGAAACTAATATAAACTAAACTTAAACTAAGCAGTTTCAAAATATAAAAACGAATAAAAACTAGTAAATCTGCCTCTAAAAATAAATTAAAACTAACTGGATTTAAAAACAAAAAGTCAAAACTAAATAAAAACTAAAACTATTGAAAAACCTAAAACTATTAGAACCTTGTTACATCTTTGCTGTATGTAAATAAAGCACTGTTCTTTTAAATGGGTAAAATGCTGATCTAACAGCAAATGATGAAACATCATTGTGCCTCCTTCCCCAGTCTTTTTTCCTCTGATGACCAGAAGACCCTGTTTTAACCCCTAGCACAATTTATTTCAACATTCGGTCAATATTCGATAAATTCCTGTCTTGCATTCGACTGACGAAGTGATAATTCACACTCAGTCATCAGTATGAATGAATCAGATTATCTAATCACTCATGCTGGAGAGGAAATGACTAATAAAACAGTAAAAAAAAAATATTGATGTTGACTTACTCGTGCTTTCTTGTACATTTTGTTCTTCAGGTAGCTGAACGTCCGGCTCACTTTGGTAGAACTTTTCTCAAAATCTCCTCTTAAAGGTCCCGGTTCCTCCTCTGTAATGCTTTTTTAAGGATTGAAAGAAATGAGTTATTGTAACAAATATGAAATCATTTTCAGAAATGTCACAATGAAATAAAATATCGATGTTACCTGTATCCCATATTACCGGCAGTGCTGAATGACGTCATGCCTGTAAGTACAACGATTGAGTCAAATGCACATCACCGACAACAAACACTCATGACAGAGCCTGATTTACGTACACATGCAAAACCGTCTGCAAACAGATTGTGCGTTTGACTCAACGACTACTACTCATCTAAAGTAATATGACTCCCAGAGCCAAGGGTGTAGATTTGCTCTTGACATTGGTGGGGACATCCATCCATAGCGCATTCATAGACAGCACAAAATCTCTATCATGCTTTTAAAAACATGAATAAAGGATCGAAACACTTCATAATACGAATAACAATTAATGAAACACGTCCCATGCTGCAAAAGTCAGTTTACATGATTCTACTGCAATCTGGCTTTGAGAATGTATGAATGTAATTTAAAAATAGATGTGATGAACTTGATATTATTACATAAATCTTGTTCTTATTTGTTTCCTATATGTTTATCTAACAAATATCAACAACAAAGTTTATTAGTTCATTTAATTTAAAACAGGCATGCCCAAACTTGGTCCTGGAGGGCCGGTGTCCTGCAAAGTTTAGTTCCAACCCCAATCAGGCACACCTAGGCGAGCTAATCAAGCTCTTACTAGGCTTTCTAGAAACATCATTGCAGGTGTGTTGAGGCAAGTTGGAGCTAAAATCTGCAGGACACTGGCCCTCCAGGACCAAGTTTGGACACCCCTGGGTTACAATAATGTAAGAAAAATGCATGGAAATGTTATATACAATCAAAAAATACATAAATCTCTCTACCTAAATACTTGCTTAAGTGTATTTCATATTGCTTTATATATTATTTATTTAATAAGTTGTTACTCATCTTTGCCTGTTCAATGTATTTTAATCTTTCTCATTCCATTTAAATGATTAAATAGAAGTAAATGATCCATAATGTTGATGTGAATATTGTTTAGCGACAAAATCTCATCAAAACACCACATAGTATAGATAAAAAATTATTGAAATGAAATAAAATACATTCATAATATAAAAGTGTCTGTTTTGTCCACAAGTAGCATGAGTTTGACTCCTAAATTAACAATAGCATGGTGATTTAAAATGATTAAAAAACTGGAGTAATAGCGCTAACAAAAGCTAGCATAACAAAAGCGGCTAGCATATTTCAGATCATCTCTACTTCTACTGTCATTTACAGTATCATCTAGGGACAACATGCTACTATTCATCTACTATTCAACTTACTTATAATGTCCTCCTCATCACTAGATGAAGAGCTGACAGTAATGACACTTTTAGATTTGGGGAGAATCGGTGAGAGGTTGAAGGTAAAAGAGATCCGTCTCTTTCTCCGAATCCTTCCTATTGCTAGACGGACGCATTGGGGACGGAAAAATCAGAGCAAGTGCTTATTAAAGCAAAATATTTAGGGGTCTAAGAAACAGGTGGAGGACAACAAATACAAACCAGACTAAGAAAACAAATGATGCAATACTGCATCACCTATAGCCAAAGTCCGAATTATTAGCCCTAATGTGAATTTTTTTCTTCTTTTGCAAATATTTCGCAAGTGATGCTTAATGGAGCAAGGTTTTTTTGCAACCCAAGCTCATTCTGAAAACGTAGTCCCACAGATATTTCTGGAGACAGCGGAATACATCCCAGGGGGTACGTAAGGCCGTGTTTATTTTTTTCAAGCAAACGCTGCGGGGCGGTGTGATGCTGTTCCCTTTCGCGCTTGCTTTACCTCCTTGTGGAGGGCTTCCCCGCTGCAACCCGTTTGTCAACTCAGCTCACCGTGTATGTCGGCAGGCTCGAGATGCAGAGAGGAGTTGACCACGGCGATCGGTTTCGAGTCCAGGGAAGAGCAGTTCCAGCAATCAAGTAAGATAAAAACAGAATCCCAAAAATTAAGTGAACGAGTTTCGGGAAAGGGTGAGAACACGGTGAAATCTGAAAACGCGGTTTAAAAAAAAAAAAAAAAAAAATCGGGGTTTTTATTTTTTGGACGGCTTTTTGTAAACTGTTGCAAGCGGGCGGTCGGTAAAATTAGTTGGGTTCTGGGAAGGAGGAGGGCGGGTCGGCCGATTGGCCGGTCGCGCAGTCAATCATCCAGTCAGTCGGACAGCGGCCTTCGGTGGGTTCATGCGAGAACAGCGCGGCCGTGACCACACTCGCGAGAGGCGTCTGAGGTGCGAAAAAGCGCACAACAGCGGCCACTCGCGGATTCACGAAAACAAAAACTGCAACCGTACGTACCCACCGGAACGTATTCCACGGTCTCCAGAAACTCCGCGGGACTACGTTTCCACAATGAGCCCGGGTTGATTTTTTGACAGTATTTCAAATAATATTTTTTCTTATGGAGAAAGTCCTATTTGTTTTATTTCGGCTAGAAAAAAGAATAAATAAAAATACAATAAAAGCAGTTTTTATTTTTTAAAACCATTTAAAGGTCAATATGAGTACAGCCCTTTAGCTTTGTCCACAGAAGAAACCATCATTATATGACTTGCGCAATTACTCTAACTTGCTTAATTAACCTAGTTAAGCCTTTGAATGTCACTTTAAGCTGAATAGAAGTGTCTTAAAAATATGTAGTAAAATAATATTTACTGTCATGATGGCAAAGTCTAGATCAGTTATTAGAAATGAGTTATTAAAACTATTATGTTTAGAAATGTGTTGAAAAAAAACATTTATTTGTTAAACAGAAATTAGGGAAAAAATAAACAGGGGGGCTAGTAATTTAGGAGGACTAATAATTCTGACTTCAACTGTACCGTACATGTAAACAAACTCTGGCTGTTTCTCAATATGTGTTCTTCAGCATTCTTGCGTCCTCGTGTAACCTCATCATCAACTGCCAAAGTTCAGTTCCAATACTCAAGACTGCAAGAATAGCAGACACGTGAAGGTTCCTGGACGTGTTCTTGATATCTAGGACGCATTGATGCAGACTTCAAAACTCACTCGAGAAGTCCCAGAAGTCATTGCGGCCGAATAAAGGAGGTAGGAAGCGCAGCATTTAATATATTTATTATTAAAGTTCAGAAAATTAGCTTGTCTCAGGAGTTTCCCTAAATGAAACGTTGAAAGCAAACATTAATATGAAAAGGCATAAGCACATTAAGGGTGTTTATTTGCTGAAGTTCATATTAAAATCTGTTTAATTTGTATTGTGAAACATATATCTGTAAGGTCTTTATGCATAGTATCTATTGTGAAAAGAGGAAAAAATAATTCATTGCATGAATGCTGTAATGTTTAATTAATATCCCGTTAAAAAAGTGTGAAGTTCATGTGACCATCAGGAAGAACGCAGCATCTCATTTCTCACAGGACACGTTCTCTGTTCTTGCGGTCTGCCAAATTTGTTCATCCGAGGTAACTTGGCAAGACCGGTCTTTACAAGAAAGCAAGTTCGTTCTCTGCATTCTTGGAACTGAGAAACAGCCAGTGAGAGGGGAGTTAAGTTTAAGACAAATTTAGGGCTGATTCTTTGATTCAAAGGCAACAAGATCTGAAATTGCCTCCAAATTGACAATTTGCTAGGGCTGAATGGCAAATCAACATAAAATTCACATTTTCCATTTACCAAAATCTGCAATTATCTTGCACATGTGACAAAGTTAAAGTGATCTGATCAGTAGTAAATCTCCTCCATAAGGCTAGAGGGCTCTCTTTCTCTCTCTCTCTCTCTCTCTCTCTTTCGCAAGTTGCAAGTAACAACCAAATATGCCCTGTAGAAACCTAAGAAATACCATTTAATAGACCCTTTTCACATTTCCAGGTTTCTCAGTAGCGGAAGTCATCAAAGTTGGGTAAACTTAGAGAACAGTGAGTGGAAGAATACAACAAATATTTTCTACAATCTTATTTGCTGAAATCATAAAAGAAAACAAAACTGTGTGAGACTGAAATTGTAGCCAGAAAAGAAAACAAAGCCAAAATTACTTTGCTGTCCATAGACACTGCATTAGGAACTGTGTCATAAGCAGTAATTTGCTTTGTTTTTTTAATTATTTGCAAAGGTGATATAATACATTCATGAATAAACATAAATAACTTATTTTTAAAATCTAAATATTAAAAACATATGGATTTAGATATGCTTGAAGAGACTTGTGAAAAAGGGTCCATGGGAAATCACTATAGCGTTTGTAGGATAAACAGAAGATTAAACTGCTTTTGTGTGAATTAACAGGATTAATAAACACATGACCATGACAACGTAGTTTATCTGAGTTCATTTTATCATAACATCCTCATAATAAGGTATGTAATGATGCAACACCTTTGTTGCTGCTTATTAGAATGCTAAAATGAATTAATATTGAGTCCATCAATTCCAAAACCATGAATCAGTATAAAGTAATTATAAAATCAGTTTTTCATATAGCATGTTTTTTTTTTTTTTTTTTTTTTTTTTTTTTTTTAAATCAACAGAGCAATAAATCCATAATGTAATTCATCTATGGGAGACAGAAATGCTACTTACCATCTAAGTCCCGTTGACTGATGGACAGCATGGAGACTGATTTTGTGAGAGGAAGCGTCACGGATGAACTGCTGTTTCGGAACTGATGATATTTCCTGGATTTCTGCAATCAAAATAATACATTTTAAAAATGAGACCCTTTGCTGTGACACTCATATATTTAACTCAGGTGCTGTCCATTTCTTCTGATCATCCTTGAGATGCTTTCACGCCTTCAGCTGAGTTTGATTATACTGATTGGACTTGATTAGGAAAGCCACACACATGTATCTTACAGCTCACAAGGCATGTCAGAGCAAATGAGTATCACGAGGCCAAAGGAACTGACAGAAGTGTAGCAGGGCACAGATCTAGCAATAATTATAAAAAAAAATTCTGCAGCACCTAAAAGCACAGTGCCCTCCATAAACCTTTAATGGAAGACGTTTGGGACGACCAGAACCCTTCCTAGAGCAAACCGAGCAAAGTCAGCAAACTGGGCTATTAAGTTTGAAGAGCCTTGGTGACAGTGATAAAGATGAAGCTAAAGATCACTGTAGCTGAGCTCCAGAGATGCAGTCGGAAGATGGGAGAAAGTTGTAGAAAGTCAACCATCACTGCAGCCCTCCACTAGTCATGGCTTTATGGCAGAGTGACCCGACCTGCATGGAGTTTGCTTAAAAAAACAACTGAAAGACTTCAAGATGGTGAGAAATAAGATTCTCTGCTCTGATGAGAACAAGATTGAACGTTTTTGCCTTAATAATAAGCAGTGTGTGGAGAAAACCAGGCACTGCTCATCACCTGTCCAATACAGTTCCAACAGTGAAGCATGGAGGTGGCAGCATCATGCTGTTGGGGTGTTTTTCAGTTGAAGCATCAGGCTGACTGGTTGTAATCGAAGGAAAGAGGAATGCGGCCAAGAACAGAGATATTCTGGACAAAAACCTTCTTCAGGGACCTCAGGACCTCAGACTAAGCCAAATGTTTGCCTTCCAGCAAGACAATGTACCTAAGTACACAGAAAAAATAACGAAGGAATGGCTTCACAACAACTCCATGACTAAATGGCCCAGCTAGAGCCCTGACTTAAACTCAATTGAGCATCTCTGGTGAGATCTAAAAATGGCTGTCCACCAATGGTCACCATCCAACCTGACAAAACTGGAGAGGATCTGCAAGGAGGAATGGCAGAGGATCCCCAAATACAGGAGTGAAAAAAACTTGTTGCATCTTTCCCAAAAAGACTCATGACTGTATTAGATCAAAAGGATTTTTAGCAAATGGCTGCAATATAACAAAGAGCAAAGAATGTAAGTAGTTTTTTTTTACTTAGTTTTGACCGATTATATGTATTTCAGTGCACAAAAATATTTTGTATTATTCTTTGCAGTTTTGTTTTGGAATTATGAAATTATAAAAAAGATTTCCAAAATCTCCTCAGTAAAAAAAAACTTTGACTTCAATGTAAAAACAAAACAAAAAATGACTATTCAATTTTCAGATTTTTGGACTATACAGTAAAAGAGATGCCTGATTTAAATATTTAAATAGAATAATATATATATATATATATATATATATATATATATATATATATATATATATATATATATATATTCTTGCAAAAAAATTATTAATGCAACCAATCAACTGGGGAAGTATAGTGATAGTAATTACCCAGCTATTTATTTATTTATTTATTTATTTACTCAGTTGAACTGCAGAGTCTTGCCTTAAACCAGTGGTTCTCAAAGTGGGGGTCGGGACCCCCCAAGGGGTCACGGGATAATGAAGACGGGTTGCCTGGTGATTTCCAAAAATCGATTTATTTTTATCAAACCATAAGGATTACCATATTTTATCCATAAACTACTGAAGAGAAAAAAATAGTTGTTTATAGTTACTATATGGTTACTATATAGTTACTATAGTAGCTTATAGTTACTAGTTTAACTGAATTGCAAACCCCTGGGGTACTTACATTATATTAAAGACACAGCAATAGCGTCAGATGCAGATTGATTTTATAACATCAGGTTAAATTTTCTGGCCCATTTACAGCACTGACATAGATTAAAAATGAAATGAAGAATAGACTTGGGACTATTGGTGTGTGTGTGTGTGTGTGTGTGTGTGTGTGTGTGTGTGTGTGTGTGTGTGTGTGTGTGCCATTGCATTTCTAACCACTGTATTTATGACCCCCCTCAGAGGATATTGGGGGTCGTGAGTCACTGGCATTGTCATTTTGGGGGTGACTTGCTGAAAAGTTTGAAGACCCCTGCCTTAGACCAGTGTTTTTCCAGAAACGTGGTTGAGAAAAAATGGCTTAAACGAGGCTTCCTACCTAGTGTGCTGTCATGAAAATAGAGAACAAATATTCTATGAAAAAGCAGCTAGAGGACTTTTTATTTAAATAATAATATAAAAAATACAGAAGTACGATCATTGAGCTTCAATTTCCCCTTCCAGATAGTTCTGCTATTTGAAGTCAAATGTCATGCTTTGTAAAGGTAACTCAAACTCTTGTCTCACCTGAATGCCTGGACTTCTGCATTCTCCTAAATCGGATTCGGGACCTTCTTCGGTGAGGGACATGAGTGAGCCTCTGTCTTCGCTGTCCTGACGCTGAACCCCCCGTTGATCTTTAGACGGAGCTCCAGACCGCCAGCGTTTGCCATCCTCGATCCCGGCTGCCAGACCCTCTAGACTGTAACTACACACAGGATACAGAGGCGCACAGAGATCAGTGGTGTGGAGTTAGCAAATTACAAAACAAAAGAGAACAAAAAACACATTAGAAGAGTGAGTTAAGCTAACTAAATGAAGTAGAAATAGAAAATTTAACACATTCAAAAAATAAATAAATAAGATAAATAAATAAATAAAAATATATAAACAAAACAAAATAAACAAATGAATAGATGAGACGAAAATAAATAAAATATTAATATATAAAACAAAAATATAAATTAATAAAAAAATAAATAAATAGATGAGATGAAAATAAAATAGAAAAATAAACATTAGAAAAGATAAATAAGCTAAATAACAAAAATGTAAATAAACAAAATAAATAGATAGATAGATTAAATAAAGCATATACTAATATATCAAATAAAAATACAAATTAATAAAAAATAGATGATTAGATTAGATGAAAATTAAGAATAAATTAATATATAAAATAAAAGAATAAATAAATAGATAAATAAATGAGATGTAAATAAAAGAGAAAAATAAACATTAGAAAAATAAAAAAATAAAATAAAAACAAGAAAAATACGTAACTAAACTCAATAAATTATAAAGAATAGAAAAATAAATACATTAGAAAAGTAACTAAACTAATTAAATAAAATCAAAACATAAAATATAAAAATATAAAAAAAATATATAAAAATACGTAAATAAGCTAAATAAATTAAAAAATATATAAAGTAGGAAAATGGATGAATAGAAAAATGGGTGAAGAGATGAAATAAAATAGAAAATAGAAAAATAAACAAAAAAATATGTAAGTAACCTAAATAAATATCATCTATTCATCACAAACAATAGATGAATAAATGAAATAAAAAAAATACAAAAAAATAACTAAAAAAATAAGACAATTAAAATAAATAAAAGAGAAAATGCAAAAAGATTTTTTTTTATAAATCTACAATAATGACAAAGGAATTAAATTGCAATTAAAATGAATTAAAATTAAAAAGCAAATTGTAAATGCTAAAACAAATAAAAAATATTTTAAAAACCGTGAAAAGGACAATTTAACCCAAATATATAACCAAAAATAATAAAAATAAATATAAAAAACATCCTCACATTTTTAGATGTATTTTTTCTAATAAGCAAAATTATAGTGTATAAAAATATACTGTACATAAAAAACATAATATACGACAAAAATAAATGGTGAAAATATTACAAATAAGAAAATGAATGAGAAAAAAAAACTAGAGATGAAAAGGATTGAGAATATATATATATATATATATATATATATATATATATATATATATATATATATATAAAAAGACAAACAAAACTAAATGTTATAATAAATATGCAAGAAAAATAAACAAGTAAATGAAAAGAAAAATATTTTTAATAAATTCAGAAAAACAAAAAAAATACACCAGAAAAGTTAATTAATAAGTGCAAAAATCGAACAAAAGCAAAAAACTGAAAGCTTTGAAAAATTAGTTGCAAAGTGACACACATAAAAGCAAAGCTGCGAAGCACAAATTGTTTCTATTAAAAACAAGTATAATTTTTTCCAAAACAACCTGTAGAACCTAACAATTTTTTTTTATTCACATCCAAATAAATAAACCATCAACGTTTTCCTTTTCTCTCAGAAAGGTGTGTCTGTCTGTGTGGTTTACTACTGACTGACCTGATGCAAAACATGCAAAGCGAACGTACACTACACACAGAAGTGTCCACACTAAAAACAAAAGATTAGAACTTATTTAGCCACACAATAATATAATATTTGGTGTTATCACTGTAATATAATTAACAGCCAATCCTTTCAACAATGAGTCAAACCATATTTTAGTTGAACACCTTCAGTACTTTAAGGACTATATACAGTACTGTATGTAAATCAAAATTTTTACAGACTAACAAGAAAAACTGTGGATTTGACCAACAAAACAGCTTTAGCTATGAGAAACCAAGTCTAATCCTAAAAACCATAGATATGCTGATATACAGTAAAAGCTCAAAAGCAGCACAATGAAAAGTACAATATGCTAAAAGATGAGTGATATGTGTGAGACTTTGCATACACTGTAAGATGTGAAAATAAAGGCTACCACAGTAGATTTTGGATTATATTTTTCAAATTTGCTAGTCTAAAGGATGTTTAAAACACTGAATTAATATCTACATATAATAGAATAAATAAATTATAATATATTACTTTTTTTCTTGTACATTTGAACAGAGATCACAAAAATATTATTATTCTGATTTATAATTATTAAAATAACTCAATAACTTAAAAATAAAAAGAAACACACATAAAAAAATTACATTTCAATATTAATTTTTCAATTGACATTAAGTACTGTAATGATGTCAAATTATATTGCATTATATTTTACATAGTGTAAATTATGTTTAAAAAAGGCTAAAATATTTTTCATAGTTGAAGTGAACATGTGAACTCTAATATAAGGGTCACGGTAATATTGTCCTTCTAATTTGTAATTATTTTAATAGATCAATAATTTGCTTAAAAACAAAAATGAATACAAATAAAAAGAACAATAATCATATTTTTTAAATAAATTACATGCACAAAAATGATAGTCGTGCTTAAAAATGTGAATAAAATACTTCAAACTTTCAAAATGCAAACTGTAAGGATCACAATTATATTAAACCTGAAAAAAAGATAACTAAATCTACCACATTTACAAAAATGAAGAAAAATGAAAAACCTTCAAACAGTACAAAAACACAATATATTTTAAAATGTCTAAATAAAAAAACATAATAATTTAAAAACAATAACACCTAAAAATGACTGTATAAAGTGAAAATACAGATTCTTTCAATATAACCTGACATTTAAAAATCCCTTCAATTGACATTACCTACAGCAATCATGTCAAATTATATTACATTATATTTTAAATAGTGTAAATTATGTTTAATTTATATTTGCCTGAAATATTTTTCGTCGTTGTACTAAACATTTGAACAGCAATCATGTCAAATTATATTGCATTATATTTTAAATAGTGTAAATTATGTTTAAATTATGTTTGCCTGAAATATTTTTCGTCGTTGTACTGAACATTTGAACTAATATAGAGATCACGATAATTTTAGGCTTCTAATTTATCATTATTTTAATTAATCAATAACTTACTAGTTAAAAGAAAAACATGAATTGAAATTAATTACATGCACAAAAAAATGAGCCGTTTACAAAAATAAATAAAAATCGAACATAACAAAACAAATAAATATTGAAACCTTCAAAAACCTAACAGTACAAAGACACAACTACATTGACATATCAAAAAACAAATACTTAATAAATAAAAAACCAAAAACAACTAAATGAAAAACTAAAAACTGAAAATACTGATTATTTCAATATAAACTGACTTTAAAACCCCTTCAATTGACATTACCTACTTTAACTGTCGAACCAGTCACATTAAATATTTCACATTTTACTCAAACAAACTTCCTCTTACCTGACATTCGTACCAGACACGACAACCACAATATTAGTCATCATACAAGTAGAAGAAAAAAAGCAAAGCTACAAAACAAACTGCACAGCAGCAACACTTCTAAGGTTTATAAGCCATCGTCTTCTGCACTGAAGGCCTAAACAAGCGGCTGGTGTTGCCCTCAGACAAACAGGTAATGCAAATGTAGATGCAAAGCTCTTTGTGCTAGTCAAAAGGGGCGGGATTTCAGGTGCGTTTACAGGAAGCGTTTATACACTTTCAGTACCTGATGAGTTTTCTAATCTCTTCCAGTTCTGGGCAGGGTTCACTGGGACACCAGCTCAAACTGGGCAAAATACAGGGGGCGCCAAAGGGGACACAGGTCAGTAATAGGGGTAGTAGAGTTTGGAAAATTAGCAGTTATTTAGTAAATACTCTGTTTACAGATATTGCACTGCAAAAGATATATATTTTCTTTGTTTTTGTCTTGATCCTAGTTGCAATGTCTACAAGTTCATATTTTCAGAAGCTTCCGTCCTGATACAATGAGACGGTATTGCTATTTTTAAACTTTGAACCTTTATTTATTATTTATTATTTTGATCAAATCGTCTAGTCTAAAGCCAGAGGCGCAGATTTATTTATCCATTCATTCAGTTTCCTTCAGCTTAGTCGCTTTATTAATCAGGGGCTGCCACAGTACAATGAACCACCAACTTATCCAGCATATGTTTTGCACAGCCAATGCCCTTCCAGCTGCAACCCAGTACTGGAAAACACCCATACACACTCATTCACACACACCCTACTGCCAATTTAGTTCACCAAATTCACCTGTAGTGCATGTCTTTGAACTGTGGGGGAAACCGGAGCATCCAGAAGAAACCCACGCGAACACAGGGAGAACATGCAAAACTCCACACAGATATGTCAACTGGCCCAGCCTGCACTCGAACCAGCGACCTTTTTGCTGTGAGGCGATAGTGCTAACCACTGAGCCACAGTGTTGCCCAGATTTATTAATTTTGGTTTGTTATTTAAAGAGCGCATTAGTGGTTACAAAAACGCGCACACACATTGCTTTTTACACACACAGGGATGCACAGCAGAATTAGTTGTTATTTTGCTTTTTATAAACAGCATTTTGGTCAGCCCCTGCTGTTTTAAAAGTGCTTAATAAATTAAATTAAACTACACTAAAATCATTACTGTTTTTATTTGTTTTAGAAGTCCAAATTAATAGCGTTTATCTATAAAACAAGCAAAATAATCTGCTTGTAGTGTATGCAAACAGCATTTTTTACAAATATTTTCAAAAAGTATCATTATTTTTTATTTTATAATAATCAGGGATCTAATAAGAATAAAAATGAAATCACTTTCAGATTATTTTGCTAACACCACATAGTAAAAAATGAGCGGCATTTAATGAAAGCAAATGCCTTTATATTATTTAAACAAACCATAATCATTTAATCAGGTTTCAAAAATGTTGTTGTTAGTTACAGAATGAAAGTTGAACCTAATATTCTTAATCAGTTTAACTGGTATAAGCTGAGACGACTAGAAAAGTTATTTTGATTTAACTTAAGGCAGTTTTTGTTTTTTTGCTTATTTTAATAAAGAACACTTGACCTGTTAGCCAGCACCTCACTTATGGGGGTTGACACCTACCTACGGTACAGTAACATAAGATGGTGACTTCAGTGAGCTACAAGCACCATCTTTTTTTTGTAATGTAATCATGCATGTAATCAGCCTTGTAATAACCTAGAAAAAAATTGTCTTGAAAGCCAAATGTCTCATGAGTTTATATTTTAAATTACATGTAGATAGTATGTAAAACAAGATCCCTGCAAAAGTGTTATATAAGACTATATATATATATATATATATATATATATTATATATTATATATATATATATATATATATATATATATATATATATATATATATATATATATATATATATATATATATATATGTGTGTGTGTGTGTGTGTGTGTTTCCTTCTCCCCATCACCGTCAGGGGCACAGTCTTAAAAATGGCCTTCCCAAACTAAAATTGAATAATTGTCTTCTTATTTATTTAATTTTTTTTTTCTGAAAACAAGACAATATTGTTTACTTGTTGTTACGACTGAAGTTTATTTATTTGTTTATTATTACGGATTGTACTCTGTCTTTTTCTTTTGTCCCGCCTTCTTGTTGTTATTCTGTTGTCTTATAGGCTCCCATACCGGCGTGATTCCCTGTTCTGATTGGCTGCCGGTCGCAAAAGCATGTATAAAAAGGAGCTTCCGGCAGGGATCGGGGAGCTCATTTCTGTGCGTTCGGTGTTTGGAGTGGAGCTCCTGGGTTTCCCTCACCCCTCCGGCCGACGACCATCAACCAACCTTGTATTGATGACGATCATATGTTAAAATATTTTTGAGAGTTTGAGCGTGTAGGGGTGACCTGCCTATTTATTTGATTACTCTTGACTTTGTTTATGTTAGGGAGTAAGGTAAGATTTTTTTGTATTTTTCTTTAAATAGTAATAGGTAATTTAGTGGATTTATTTTATAGATTCTTTTGTTTGTTATTTTGGCCTGTGGTCACCCTGACGAACTGCTCATTTATATTAACCCCATTTTTCTATGATAAATATATTCATATACACTCTCAACTGAGTGTGTGAGTTTGGTTGTCGACCAAAGGGAATCTTTTGCTTTAAGTTTTGTTTAGTTTGGGAAATCCACCACCCCAACACATTTGTTTTTTCTTAGTTTATTATGCCCTTTTTGTTTCCCTTAGACTTGGGGCGTAATACTTGTCTAGAAAATGCACTAGAAAGAAGACAAAATCTTTAAGAAAAATGTTATTTTTTGCAATGTAGATTTGGAGCACAACGGTAGGGTTTCAGAAGTAAACATTTGAAAACATTGTAATGCTTTATAAGTAATTGTGCTATATTTTGAATTTCCTTCCGAATGCATAATGTTGTTAAACACAAAAATCATCTGCAAAGTTACAAAGTCATTCCAAAGGGATTCATTCTCTATATCAGTAAACAGTAAACTGTTGTTTCCTTCCAGGAACAAACATGTCATAATTTTCCCCTAATTGTAATAAATATTTACCACTCAATTGATGACCAGTGGGGCGAGGCCTGGTTGTGTTAGTAGTGTGACGAGTTTACGAATAAAATACACACAGATGTAATATACCAACACACACGCAACGTCCCAAAATCTGGAAAATGCTCCCTTTCGGAGACATCATTTTATAATTAATACTTTGCATCTGTTGCTCAGTCGTTACCTTGGTCACTTTACAGCAAGAAAGTTGCTGATTCGAGTCCCAGCTGGGCCAGTTGGCATTCCTATGTGTAGTTTGTATGCTCTCCCTGTGTTGGCGTGAGTTTTCTCCGAGTGCTCCGGTTTTCCCCAAAGTCCAAAGCCATGCGCTATAAGCGAAGTGAATAAGCTAAATTGGCTGTAGTGTGTGAGTGTATATGGGTGTTTTCCAGTAATGGATTGCAGCTGGAAGGGCATGTGCTGCATAAAACACATGCTGGAATAGTTGTCGGTTCATTCTGCTGTGGTGATCCCTGATAAATAAAGGGACTATACCGAAAGAAAATGAATGAACAAATAAACTTGCATCTGTTCCTGGGAAGGGACAACTGTGTTTCTATTCTGCTTTCTTTTCTCGAACAGATTTAAAACTTGCTTTCTTCTTAAAATATTACAGCAATATTTACATTTTTACAAGTTACATTCAATTTGAAACCCCAGCTACCGTTGTGCTCTATAGGGATCAACACACAATTAAAATAGTGTAAAAAATAATAATAATAAAAATAAATAAAAAAACAAGAAAACAAGATACCTTCTTCTGTAAAACACAGGCTTCCCCTCTCCTGCATTTTGCACAGAACTGAAAATGAAAAGATAATGAGAGGTATAAGATGACATGGAAATATGAAGTTATATGAAGTACACTGTAAAAAAAATGCTGGGATTCACACAATTGATTTGTGATGGGTCACCATGAAAGAATTAAATTAACATTTATAAGCTTTTACAAATTTAAGTGGATTGAACATAAAACAATTATGTTGTCTCAAAAAAAAAAGTCAAAGCAAATAAGAGTGTGGTTGGATGACTGAAGATGCATGAAGGTGTCACATGACCATTAAAACCTTGTTTATACTTCTGCGTCAAGTGATCAGTGTAAGTCATGGTGCATGCAACGTGCATATATACTTCTGCGCGCTGTTTGTGTTCCTCTGCAATAACACATCTGAAACGCTAGCTGGCAGTGGGTGTTTATGTTCCTCTGTGTCGAGTTTCTTTGCTGGAGTTTTTTTTTTTTCTGAGCGTTAACTTAATGTACAAGTGGCCCAAACTCGCTCATTTTGAGTTGGCAATCGGTGAACATGCAACAACATTAATCATAAGGTAAACACAAAACAACAGTTTCCATCTGAAGCTCCTTCACGAGACTCCACACTTGTAAACACTCGCTCCATCAGGCTCGCGAGGCTTTCATCTCTGCCCACACTCATCAGCGCTACCAAGCTGACCAATCACAGAGCTTGCGCTACGCGTAGTTGCGAAAGACACGGCCAGAGCATACGTGCGCTCGATGCAGAAGTATAAATCAGCCTTAAGTGTGAGTGACGTCATTTTAAGCTTTATACAGTTGAAGTAAGAATTATAAGCCTCCATTTATTTATTTTTTCCTAATTTCTGTTTAGATTTTCTTTTTAAACTTCTGTTTTTCAATACATTTCTAAACATAATAGTTTTAACAACTCATTTCTAATAACTGATTTATTTTATCTTTGCCATTTTGACAATAAATAATATTTTACTAGATATTTTTCAAGACACTTCTATACACTTCTTCTATATTTATAGCTTATAAGTGACATTTAAAGGTTTAACTAGGTTAAATTAACTAGGCAGGTTAAGGTAATTAGGCAAGTTATTGTATAATGATGGTTTGTTATGTAGACAAACGAAAAAAAAAATGCCTAAAGGAGCTAATAATTTTGACTTTAAAAAATTTTTTAAAATTTTAAAAATTTTAAAAATTTTAAAAAGTTTTAAAAATTTAAAACTGCTTTTATTCTAATAAAGACTTTCTCCAGAAGAAAAAAAAATATTATCAGACATACTGTGAAAATGTCCTTGCACTGTTAAACATTGTTTGGGAAATATTTAAAAAAAGAGAATAATGTTCAAAGGGGGCAAATAATTCTGACTTCAACTGTAAACAAATTGAGCGTTGTACCTGCGCTGGTTAAATAATGACATTTATTTAAGGAAACATTACAGCATGCAAAAATTACAGTAATGCAAAATAAAATTAATAAAATTGTTTATTGTATTTTTACATTTGATTTTATAATAATTATTATTTTATTTGTTATTCAAATAAAATGTATTACATAAATGTATTTTTAAGTCAAATTTAAGCACTTCTGAAACTTATCCAGCACTTTACTTTAAAGTGCTTCATGAATAAATTGAGCATTGTACCTGCGCTAGTTCTCTGCAACTAGTTGCCGGCAGCTAGCTCTCTGCAACTTTCACATGGTCGCCCAATGAAGCTAAGCAGGGCTGCGCCCGGTCAGTACTTGGATAGGAGACCACATGGGAAAGCTAGGTTGCTGCCGGAAGTGGTGTTAGTGAGGCCAGCGGGGGGTGACCAACCAGCGGTCTGTGTGGGTCCTAATGCCCCAGTATTGTGACGGGGACGCTATACTGCTCAGTGAGCGCCGTCTTTCTGATGAGACGTTAAACCGAGGTCCCGACTCTCTGTGGTCGTTAAAAATCCCAGAATGTCCTTCGAAAAGAGTAGGGGTTTAACCCCGGCATCCTGGCCAAATCTGCCCTCTGGCCTCTGTCCATCATGGCCTCCTAACCATCCTCATATTTCAATTGGCTTCATCACTGTCTCCTCTCCACCAATCAGCTGGTGTGTGGTGTGCGGTCTGGCGCATAATGGCTGCCGTCGCGTCATCCAGGTGGATGCTGCACACTGGTGGTGGATGAG